GGTACTAGGGTTAGGCTGCTCAGTAAATACAATCTTATTCGCCCCTCATAATTTACGTCACATGCTTTTTACACTTTGGATCTTAGAAAAAATGTAAGTTAATGGGATATTTTAAGTAGGCTACCTATTGAGTTTTTCCATGCACGAAAACACTAAGAATGCTCTAGTTTTTAACCTTGGTGAACCCGTCATCGGCCACTGATGCCATGTCTTGTCATCACGGCCTGTGTCGAACTACAGGGAGTGTCGAACTATCGAGGTTCTACTGTAACAACAAAAGTAAACCTTATGAAATAAACAGTTCTATAACTAATATGCTCTACAAACCTTTTAGGTACTGGCCCTAAATTTGGCTTGTCACAGCCATGCACGGATGCAGTTTTTTTTTACTTTCAATTCAGTGGCTTCAGCCAACAGTCTCTTGGCTACAACTGAAACAGTTTAAGTGAAACGCCTCATAATAGATAACAATAACAAAAGAATTTGTTATGCAAATCTATAAAGCTCAAATACCACTGACTCATTCATTCACTCACTCATCACGAAATCTCAGAAACCATAAGACCTAGGAACCTGAATCTTGGCAGGCATCATCCTTTTGGGTAGTAGACGATCACTAAGAAAGGATTTTACCCTCCGACCTCTGGGCTCCGCCCCAGTGGCTCTGGAGTTTCCCATGTTAACCTTATGAGAAATGGAATTAATGAATCTTAACAGCTGTTTCAATTAAACAAGTTGGTTCTGTTCTATGATGTTTAATAGCATTAAAGTTACAAGGATTACCAACAGGGTGCAGCACTATTATTTCTTTTACATTTATGACAACAGCTAATTTGCAACCAAAAGGTGAGTGAGCGTAGCGAACGAACTTCAACCTGGAGGCGAGTTAGCGTAGCGAACGAGCTCTAACCTTAAGGTGAGTGAGCGTAGCGAACGAGCTCCAATCTAAAGGTGAGTGAGCGTAGCGAACAAACTTCAACCAGGACGTGATTGAGCCATGCGAACGAGATCATCTTGAAAATTAAGAAGTTAAACGGGGCAAAGCCCGCGGCTTACAGCTAGTATTGGAAGAAAAATACAAAACAATCAGCTTTTAGAGAGAATATGCCATGTATTTGTATTTAACAAACTAGCTTTGACAATCTCACTTCTGTAGTAAAGTACAGAATAGACATAATTGGTCAGTGTGTGTTTTCAGGGGTGTACAGTGGGATTTACCAAATGAATCAAGTACAAAAAATTTAGTTTAGACTCGTTCAATGGTCTTGCCTCTCTGTTCAACCTGAAATTCTGGCTAAATTAAGCAAGATGGAAAAAGAAGTAAACCATAAGTCTGGCATTAATTTTTTTTTAAACAACTTTCTTCCAAGTGAATTTTTGTTTGACCAACAAACGAAAGTTTTAGTAAGTTTAACCTACTAACTTTCTTACTCTAAGGTTTTAATAATATTAAGTTATGATTTAGGCTATTAATATTTTTTGTTTTAAATTACAAATCATCAATAAAATTTAAAAACTATAGGCCTACAAATGGTAAGGTTTATTTAAAGCAGAAAATTTCAGAATTTTTCCAAAATTGTTAATACCGGTACCGTAAGTTAAATTGCAGCACACAGACAAAGTTATTCATAATAATGTCTAAATTACAGTTCTAAATTCTGCAAATTTCGATGCAAAGCAAGATGGCAACTCATCTTGTAACGTTTGTTCAAACGGCAAGCCACTTGTTTTAAATCTGTGTTCGCTGAAGCTAATTAGTTAATTTGAAAAATAACACAGCAGCCTAGGTAACCTTGTTACAATAACTTTACAACTTACAGCATGGGCAATATACATCTTTAGTAACTTAAATAGGCACAAGTTACCAGGATATGATTTAAAGTTAACAGCTACATAAAACCAAAATGGCAGGTCTCCAGTCAAGTGACATTTTTTAGAAGGTTGTTTTAAATTAGTTCATTACGGTAGCCTACCTTTACTTAGTTTAATCAATGGGTATGGCGTACAAAACTTAAAATCTTTGAGAGATGCTAATCTTAACCCATCTAAACGTTTGCCGAAAAACCCTAGCATCAGGACATAGGACTAGGATAAGCCCTTAGACCTAGGCTACAGTACCAAGTCTATAACTTAAGACATAGGCCTAAGCTAAATTAAAATATTTTTCTATAGGCCTAGGTCTATTTAACCAATCCATCGAAAATCATTTCTTCATTCTTAAATGAAACTTCATAACTTCGGCCTATGATAACTTAAGACAATCTAAGCTGATAAAAAAACTGCATCATTAACACGTTCGCTGCTACGGACGTTCCGGAACGTCAGCCGGGCCACGGCGCCAGGAGCTAAGAACGTTCCAGAACGTCACCGTTCATTGTTGTTTAACGTTGCTATGGATAAGCCAGCACGTCACAAGCGTTCTATATTTCTTTGCAGCTCGTGGGGACGTACTTTTCTGACAATAAAAAATATAGTTTCCCAAATCACCACCAGGGTCGTTTGGAACAGGGCTTTGTTTTACCTCTTTCCTGCTAGATAGCGACACTACTTTAACGACTGTAACCTGGGTAGTGCTGCTATCTATCAGAATCACTTAGTACTATGTCCAAAGCCAGTTTTATTGCAGAACATTGCCATCCAGTATAACTACTGTTGTTTTTATTGTAATTCAGTGTATCGGTGGCAATGTCACGCAGCGGCCGAGCGTTAGTTCAGCAACTGGCGCCGTCCCGGCATCTAGCGCTCAGCAGCGAACGTGTTAAGTTACATATTGGCTTGTGTGTTCATAATATTGTAGCCCACCGGATTTGGCAAAAATAAGTAACTAGGTCTTGAACAATTCCAGATACAATATTCCAACGGATCACAATACTTTCTAGGCCAACTATAAAACAATTCACCAGTCATGAGGCCTAGGGCAAGCACAGGCCTAGAATTATTCTGGATCCTAGTCCAAATTTGGCAGTTTATTGTTGTAAGATAATTTTCAGAGCATTTGTAACTTGAGGTTCTAATGTCAGTATGATTAGCATTCTAACACACATATCTTATCATAAGAATGGAAAAAATATTATGAATACAATGAGAAGATTAGCTGACTCACCTTTATGTTTCGTTGGCTCACAAGCACTTTTGTTGCAGTTAGTCTTCTAAAATCGAACACTATGGAATTAACTATGAACAAAGAAATTGAAAATTGACAAAAACTAACTTCAATATGAATACTTTATGTCTAAAAACTCTGATATAGTAATAACGCGAGAAACAAACGTCGCAAAAAGACAAACTGACAAGACACACAAAGACAAAGACAAAGAGGCAGTGTTTCCATCCGCAAGAAAAAAATATCCCTGAGCCAACGTCAAAAAATCCCTAGTTATCCCTAGTCCGTGTTCTAATAATCCCTCCAATTATCCCTCTTCATCAAATCTAGATAACTTTATTTTTGCAGCAAACCAATGGATATCATGCATAGCCACCTAAAATATGGTAACTGGTGATAGTATTCTTCAATATCCCATATTATTTATAAAGTAATACTATATAAAAAACATTTTTGTACCATTAAAACCACAGCCATCTTTAACTCCAGGCAGGCCGCGGCCCAGTAGAATTGGCAACGCTGCAAGTACCGTAGTATTGTTTAGCGCAAGACGCCCTATAAGTTAACATGGAAATAAAACATAATATTATAGAATCGAAAACCAAAGCAATATAACAACGTTGCCACTTCGAAGGCCGCGGCCTCCAGCCTGGAATTAAAGGTAGCCATGATTTAAAACTGTCTATGTTGTACAAAACAAGATTAATTAACTAAAAAAATGAAACAAATAGTTATTTTTAAAATGTTATAAACTAATAATTTTTATTTATAAGTATTTACAATTGTTTCAAAAATATTACTCAAGTGTCCAAATTTCAAACTTAATTGTCTTTTTCAAACATGGCCACCATGCCTTGGTGAAAAGGTTACACCTACACCAAGTTACTTACTAACCAAAAAACACCACAGAAATCACGGGCAAACAAAATCAAAACGAAAACAAACATTCGACATTGACACCATACCATAGCACAGGGCTTCTAAGAAAGTAACAAATTACAGTAATCTAGATCCGCCATTCCATTCCACCGGCCGACTCCAGCCCTTTGCTTGTTTCTTGCAGTGTTGGCTGTTACTCTTCCCCTTGTGTGTTCGTGTTCCGACTTTGAAACACTACGTCACTACCACTACCTACAACCATAGATAAAACATACTCCTTGAGGAGTATCTTTTATCTATGCTACAATCGATTTGTTACCAAAACCTAGGGAAAAAGTAGTATGATCAATGTGTTATCAATACCTTGCAAAATTAGCCAAAATAGGTCCTTAACGTTGTTGAAATACAGCCATAATGTATTATTTTATCAATATTTCAATTTTATAATGTCAAAGGCCTGAATTCCCTAGAAAATCTAAAAAATCCTTCAATTTCGCTGATTATCCCTAGTTATCCCTCAATCCCTTTTCAATCCCTCGAAGGCCCTAAATATCCCTAGAAAGGGATTTTTATCCCTCAAATGGAAACACTGCAAAGAGGTTAGGATTGTTTAGGGGTGGATCCTGGCGTCTGGCTGGCGTCGCTTGGTCGAACTGCATCATGGGAATTCGCGCTGTTGTTTTGTTGACTCTGTTTCAGGGCGGAATCTATGAACTCAAAAAGGGCAGTATTTTGTTGTCCTTGAATCCAGCCACAATGTTCCTAATATTTGCAACCTTGAATTGTGAATGCAAATTGTAGGGAAAAGTTTACCTTGAATCAAGGGTCCTTGCTATCTGGGAAATATTCTTGTAAAAATTACATAGTTCATTCAAACTGAAGAGTTCATTCAGTAAGATAAAAGGCATTGGATAAGCCTGTTTAAAAACATTTTGTAAACGGATTAACAGGTATAATATTTTTCAAAATGTAATCTTTTTCAAATCCTAATATTTCTAAAACTTTGGATTCCTTGCAGAATGAAAGGAGATGCCGGGCTGCTGTGTGGTCTTGGACCTTGGAGGCCATCCTGGTTACAGAAGTTCAACTCTTCCAAAGGCTTCCTGGTGGTGTACGGACTCCTGGGCACCATCCAGGCCATGTCCTACATCTACTTCGTGGCCACTCTCACTACACTCGAGAAGAGGTTCAAGATCTCCAGTAAAACCACAGGTAACATTGCAGTATAGTTGGTGGATAGAACAAAACACAGTTGATAGAATAAAACATGATAAGTTTTGGTTCCTGTTCTTGTATAAGCTATTATTTAGGTATTCAAAACTCAAATAAATTTGTTGTTGGGAAGAACAATAAACATTGAATGAAATTAGTTGAATGGAAAACAATAAACATTTAAACAGGTAATACAGGTTCACATGAGAGTGAAAATTTAAAAACGTACGTTTTCAGGAAAAGCACTTTGCAAATTTTTTCCCCTTTTTTCAAAACTTTTATTATTTTTTTTATTTTATTAACATTTGAAGTTTCATAAAATGTCCATGGTAACGCAATATCTTTGGTAGTTTTCTTTTTAAAGAGCATCTTTAGTAGAAAAACACAAAATCCTGTCACGACCATAACGTTTAAATGAATATTAAAAATAGTTAATATTATTTTTATAACTATGTTTTGCTATAAACTAATTTACTTTTATGGCCATTATACAATAAAAAGGTCACTGAGCTTTTGGTATATTTGGTCTTTCTAAAAAAAAATTTAAAAAACTCAAAAAATAGAAAAAAGCCAGTAAAATCTTTTTAAGTTTGTATAACTCCGAAAAAACTTACCTGAGACCCGAAAAATCGTTATGTTTGTATAGAGGTGTGCTTCTTTTGTGTATAAAACATTGAAATATGACAATATTTTAATTTTTGAAAATTTTATGATAGAAATCATAAACGTGATGGTCAGGGACAAGCGGTACGGTCGTGAATTGTCTGGAATAATCTAAATCTTTCCAAACAATCCTTCAATTATACTGTTAGTTATAATAAAACTATGTGTTTCAATTGAACTAAACTGTTCAATTTACAATTATATTAAAGTTATTGTCACGACCAAACACACTATAATCCATAAGGCTGGATTGGTCGTGAAAAAAACCGCGATGGTCGTGAAACTTTGGTTGTGAAATTACGTGTTATTTGGCTCTGTTCTGGCGGTAGCCCTGCACCTCATGTTCGAGGATACAAAGTGGACTTCTAGGTTAATCTAGCAATTGAAATATCTTATAAACAAAAATTAACACCATGTCTACTTCATCGAATGACTACGTATGGTCATGGACACACCAAAATTACAAAAAACACAATCTTTCCTTTATTAATCTTGTAATTCCTCCTTTCAACTCAAAACGACCGGCACTACAATCCTGACGTCCACCCCGAACTAGTCTCTAAAACCAACTGACTCCATCGACGCCAGGCTTGCCACTGTCGTGCTCCAAAGTTGAATATTTTTCCCAAATGGTCGTGAAGCCAAATCGAGGGACAGACTTATTTTGTCATGGTAGTCAGTCTGCAATGACAATAAAATTATAATATGCTCCTTTTTTGTATGTTTAATAACCATTGATGACGTAAAAATATGGCTTTATATATTTCGGCATGAATAATTACATAAAAACAGCGTGAAAGTTGGAAAATGTATCCTAGGGACACGCCATGGTCGTGAATTTCGAGACTTTAAAAATACGAAAAAAATACCTAGAACCTATTTAAAACCAAATAAATGTGTGTAACATGTTGCCCCCGTCCCAAAAAATATTAAAACATATAATAATAAACTACAAATCCAGTATCTACGAAGTAAAAGGCCAGGGACATGAAAACGTACGTTTTTAAATTTTCACTCATGACACACTTGTGTCTTATGTAACATAATTAACCCCCAAAAAACTTAAGTGTTCGTCTACACTCATGTATGCTTTTTCCATATTATAACTCAGAGTACAATAACAATGTGATGAGTTTCACAAACTAAAAACTAGCCCAAAACAAATTCTCTGTAAAAAAAAAATTGAGCAAGATTTTAGTTTTTTTATATTATTAGTGAGTACACCTGAACAAGAGCAAAGCCAATAGTAATTAAGCCTCATTCTCGTAGTTTGAGTATATTGGTCAAGATACACTATCTGCTGTAAGGTCAAGATGATCACGGTTCTTGGAAATAAGATCAAGGGTGAATTGATAATCTTTTACATGCTTAGAGGTTGAAAAAAGTGGATGAAGGGAGATTATATATCCACAAAAACAAAACAATTGAAAATGTTCTCAGAGGTTCTATTTGGTTCATTACTTTTATTATCTTTTGGTGTCTTTAAACCTCAAATTATTTCTGATGATATAATTCAAGATTCTTTGAAACTGAGATTAATTTTAGTTTGTCTTCATTGGCATCAATAGTTATATACTGTTTTGAAAAAAACATAATTTAAACTATATTCAATTTGTTCAATTCATAGTTTCAATTTTTCCTGATTTTATAATATGTAAATTTATTTTTTATTCAATCTTTACATGGGTTTCACAACTGGTGTCTGCAAGTAATCAGCAGACAAATAAACAATTTCTCAAAGTCCCATCGTAGCATCTCAATTGTATCTCTCTAATGTGATGACTGAAGATGCAATCAATACAGGGATAAAATCCCCCTTGAATTGTTTTCGCCATTTCCCATTGCAGAAACTAGATGAACCGCTAGAACTAGATTAATCCTTATGGTTGAAAAAATAGCAGGTTGTTTATAGTGCTTGCATTCAAATTTGAAGGCTTTGATTCCAATTGGGGTGGTTTACTGAACCAATAGCCAATTTCGGGAGGCAAACAGTTAGCGGTGCTATCTATCGAAATTTTAACACTATAGAGTACACCTAAGTCTATGGTTTATACAGATTCGTTACATAACACAAAACAAATGTGTGTACTTCTAATTAATTGTTGCTATTCATCTATTTTGTGTCCAGGTCTGATGATGTCAGGTAATGAGATCAGTCAGGTGCTTCTGTCTCTCATCCTCTCCTACTACGGAGGCCAGAGGAACCGTCCGCTGTGGATCGCGTGGGGTGTCGCCTTCTCTGCAGCCTCCTGCTACATCCTCGCTATGCCTCACCTCCTCTACGGCCCAGGGGAGGACGCCCTAGCCCTCACCAAGGAGTACACCAACACATTTAACTCATCTTCATCATCTAGTACGGAAAAGTATTTTTATTAAAAATCATAAAAGGTAGTATAGTTAGAATTTAAAGTTGAAGTCTAGATGGCAGCTAGAAGTTCTAATGAAAGCGATTGATGTTGGTGAATCCGATTTCAAATGATTCTTCATTCCATATTGTTTAGGTATACACCAATAACAATTTTAATGCTGATTTGACACTTGATAGTGTTACATTTCACAGCTAATAGATTAAAGTTTAATGTAATTAATTATTTTAAAACGTCTAAGCTCATTACAAATTATTTGTCTTAAAGAAAACTTTTGTATGCTTAGGGTGTTATTAGGTGCTGTATGCACCTTTGAAGGAATAGTTATATTTTTTACAGGAGAAAATGAGAACAGTGTAGTGACTGGTTGCTACATTTCTCTAGAATTATTCTCTAGATTGATCTGGTTTCTGCAGGTGACCACACACCATAAATAAATATTAAAACTACAAGATTCAGTTTTTTACTGAACATGTTTAACATGTATAGGTTTGAGTTTGAGTTGAATGATGATATAATCCCTACATAGTTCATTTGAGTAACATCGTTACAATAAATTACAAATATAAAGTTCCTGCACATACGATCTCATACACGTGTGAATTGCAAGGAAAATCGATTGAAAGAAATGAAAGACTGTTGAAGTCACGTGTGAGGCGATTCTCATTTCACCGACAATCAGTCGCTAATGGTCACCAGTCGCCACAATAGCTCTCTGTCAAAGGATTCTGCAGCCTCACACAAATAGCTGCCAAGGTCAATTCTTCCATTAAGGCCAATTGTAGAAGGGTAATACTTAAGGTGTTTATTCATGGCCGAACATATACTTGATTTAATGGATACTAGGAATACTAGGATCTGGTTTAAAGATCCAGGTAATACGTCTGGTGCTTACCATACGTCCTGCTATTTTGAATTGTCTAGCTTTTTTTTTAAAGATTTGTTAATATTTAACATCTACCCGTGTTATACACTGACAGAGAATGAATTAAATGCTATTGACTGCTTGTTCATGGGTATATATCTGTATACAATTTAGTAATTTATATGTTTTATTGGAGAACTTTTAAAATGTAATCATAACAACAAACTGTTTTGCTCCTAACAACGACTAACTTAAATATACATTAATCAAATGTCATTTACACCGAAGAAGTCTCTAATCAAGATTACAAGCTTATTTTAGAATTTTTTATGCAAAATATACTTACCGTATGATTTCATTGCAAACAGTTTTCTGTAGTTTCTAGGTATGATTTTGAAAAGCTCAAATTACAATTTTAGCATCATCTAAACAGCCACATCTTTTTTTATCAGTTTCAACTACTTTTCTTAGGGTTTCAACTAATTAATTATTTCAGGAGTTTTCCAAAAGATGGCAAAGATGATGAAACATTTTGTATTTGTTCCAAGAGGATCAGGCATCCCTGTGCGTGAGAGGGGAGGAAGGCGGATCACATTGTGAATTACCCGTTGGTGGAGAGTTCTCAAATATCCCTGCACTGCTGGTATTTTTCTCTCAATTCGTTCTGGGAATCGGAACAACGCTCTACTACGCTTTGGGACAAACCTACCTTGATGACAACACCAAGAAGTCAAAAACTCCTTTGCTTTTAAGTGAGTATCCAGTGTTAAACAAAGCACACCTTTGAAACAATTTTAATTTAGCACTTGGCAAAATAAGGAAAAATGTTTGCATTGTGTTCAATAACTGTTGAAATGAAATGAAATGAGAACATAAGGGAACTGGAGCAATAGGGACAGAATGTATGAAAACTCAACAAATTTGTCATCTAGCTAGACAAATAAAAATCACTGCATTGGATTAGAGATTGGGTTAGAGTGTTTTGTTCTACACAAAGTCTTCTGTTCTTTTTAGGTTGCCAGTTAAATATAGGTTTGAGTTCAACGAGTTTTCTACTACACGAGTATATGCATATTAGACAGAGAAATTGAACTAATCATCTATCAGTAACTTTTTGAGCCATTTGGTATCGTATGAAAAAATAGTTAATGCGTGGCTTGGAATGCATACAAATAGGATTTGTCCTAAGCAAAATAAAAAAATGAACATTAAAGTAAGTGTGCTACTGAAAAAACAACATTTTTACACTCCTGCTGGTATTCCAATACATCTAAACTTAAACTGAATTGCATCTACACAAAGTTTAGAAGTGTTATAAGTTAATATTCTATGCCTATTTTAACACCTAAATGAATGTTCAAACGGACATGATAATTAATTTTTAATTTCAAACTTATCATGCTGATCTGGTTTCTGCAGGTGACCACACACCATAAATAAATATTAAAACTACAAGATTCAGTTTTTTACTGAACATGTTATCTTGTTTCTACAGGTCTCACAATGTCCCTGAGAACGATTGGACCAGCAATTGGGTTCATCGTAGGTTACGGATGCCTCAGACTCTACATAGCACCGACTCTAACTCCCATCATAACCAACAAAGATCCTCGATGGCTAGGAGCTTGGTGGCTGGGTCAGTTTGACATGTTATGAGTCAGAATAATTAGAGATTGAAGGTTCATAGATCCACATTTTTCATTTTTGTTTATTTTCCAATAGTGTGTTCATAGGACTGCAGTATACTGTATGATGTACTATAGTTCGGCCGCTTAGAAAGCGACCTCCTCCAGCATTGGTTTAGCATTAGCGCGCAGGTTGTTTTCTAAGCGGCCGAACTATAGTAACTGAACTCATAATGAAGAGCACCAAAAAGCCACATTCTATAAGATCGGTTGTATGACAGTTTCTTGTTATGACTCATCAGTATGGTTGTAACACTGCCTTTTTATTTCCTTGAAACTTTACTTGTACTTTTTAATTCTTCCAACTCAAATCCTAAATTCAGGATTTTTTCTTTGGTATCATAAATTGTTGTATTCATTTTGATTTTGAAATTTTTTTAAGTAACAAGAATGAAGATAAGCTAAGTGTGAGTGTTCAAACATAAAAAAATAATTAAAAACGTGACAAGTCTTAGAGTTGAACAATACTTGATACTGTAAATTAGTCGATTTGTGAGTTTATACTGTCTATAAATGCACCTTTGAAGGAATAGTTATATTTTTTACAGGAGAAAATGAGAACAGTGTAGTGACTGGTTGCTACATTTCTCTAGAATTAAGTACAAGTAACAAAACATGTTTTCAATTTTAAAAACAGTATTTTCATTAAGTATATGACATTATTTGTTTCTTCAACTCAGGTTGGCTTATCCTGGGAACTGCAATGTTGCTGTTTTCATTTCTCATTGCAATGTTCCCCAAGAAGATGCCTCCAAGCAAGAGCAAAGTGGGAGTGATTAAACCTGCAGACATCACCTTAGAAACTGTCCGCAAGACAGAAAAAGAAGTAGAGTTCAAAAACGGAGTCTCCAGAGAGAAACTGGTGACTGAAGTGGAAAGCGAAGCACCTCCAACCTTGAAAGGTATACTTTCTTGTGCTGAAATGTTTTATTTTGTTGTTGTATATTTCTATTGCAAAAAAATAGAAATTTTAGGAAAACGTAACATTTTTTTTTTAAAGCTAGTCTTAAAAGAAAACAACAATTAGGGCATACACTTTTTTATGAGATTTATTGCAGAGATATCTTTGGCTATCGTCATCAATTAAAAGAAGACCTACCAACAAGTAATACAAATTGATACTGGGATGCAAATAATGGTGATTTCTTTTTAATCAAATAATTATCTTTACCTTTTGGAACACTTTATTTATCCACTCCAAATTATTTATGGTTGTTTTCTTTTCTTCTTTATAATATTCTGATTCTGTAGAGGCGTCGCAGATTTTTGAAGGAACTGATGTTTAGCTTGTCACTCGGCAGACTAGTGAGTTTAAACTTTTCCGCCACAACCAAAATAATCCTTAACATAATCCTGACAAAAAATTGTGCTTGTGATTAATGTATAGGCCACACTATTTTTTTCCCTTGTGGGCCTAATCTTAAGGTAAGCTTTGTCCCACTAGATGACATCATTATCACATATAGCTAAAAGTTGAGAAGATTGGCAGGATTTGAACCCAGTACCTCCAAAACATGAGTCCAATGCTCTAATCTAGCCATGCTCCTCTGTCTATGAAATTGTCTATGAAATTACAAGCAACAGTTTCCTCTTAAAAATGCTGCTAGTGCTATACCCACAAAAATTACCATAAATAATCTAGACTTGTATGATTTTCAAATTTTAGAGTTCCCAGCAGCACTCGCTAGATTGCTGAGGAACAAGTTGCTGATGGCCAACATCCTGTCTGGAGTGTTCTACATTCTGGGAGGCTCAGCCTACATCACATACATCACTAAATACATGGAGATTCAGTTCCACCAATCGGCTGCCGGGGCCAGCTTCATCATAGGTAAGTGGTAGATACCATTTCCTTACTTGATCCATCTATCATTTCCTATTTGATGTATTTCCCAGTGTCAAGAACTAGAATATTTGTTTATTGAACGTATGTTACCTTATTGCCAACAAAGCATAGACTCTCAACCCGCAAAACCAACCCTTCTCAGCAGTAGGTCAGTGAACAAAGACGGTGACGGTACTAGTGTGATCCCCTACAAGTGTCCATCGCGCGTCCGCGAAGCCGTCGCGACGTAAGCGTACATTGTACATCGTAGCAGGTCTGGTGATGTGTATATAAACTGTGTATATATAAAATGTGTAAATAGATCTTCTCATCTCCCTGATGATGCCACACACTGTGGCGAAATATATTGGAGGATTTAACATCTTTCTACAAGAACAAAGGCAATAAGGTAACATAAGTTCAATAAACAAATATCATTTCCTATCATCGCCATCATCATCTTCTTCATCATTTTAATCTTCTTTTATCATTTTCTTATCTTGGTTTCACTGGTTGTATCTATGGCTAGGTTGTTGAACTGGCAAAATATAGGGAATCTCTGACGATTTGTATGCATAGCAGCAATTAGGTACTCATAGTGGCAAAAATTTTAGTTTAACTGTTCAAGATGGATTACTGCAATACAGCAATCAAACAAGTTTGACAATCTACTTTGACCTTAAAGCTTGGGGGGAAGATGAATTTGGGTAGAAACCATTAACCTTTTTTCGCGATGTAGAGGTCGCCAGCCATTTCTTGTATCCACCGTTTGTTACTGACTCAACCAATGTTATTTTCCAGGGCCAACAGCAATTTTGTCGATGACCTCAGGATTCCTCATATCAGGAGCAGTGATTTCAAAGTTTAAACCCAGACCCACGTACCTATTAGGATGGAATGTACTTGTCGGCATTTCCTTCGTCATCGGAGAACTGTCCTTCATCTTTCTCAGTTGTGAGGACAGCAGTATGGTTGGCTTCAGGGGAGAGAACGAGTAATTAAACTTATTAATTTGGTTATTTTATATTTTCCAATACTGTACAACTGAACAAATTCTTCCTACATTTGCTTATATGGTTTAAACTTGAGTATCATTTTTGGCATTCTGTATACAAGTTAACTGCTTTACACAAACAAGTCTGCAGTTATTACAGGATCTTCCTCCATGTGCTATGGAAACATAGGAAATCAATTAGAAAATCAATTGACACTCAATATTTTTACAAGATCCGTAATCTGACGCTACAGTACTTTGTTATCAGACAATGTCGGTACATTTCTGGAATTATATTATGGTCTGTCATGGTCACCATACAAACACATTAAAAGACGTTAGAGAATGGTACCACATTCAATGGTTGATATCACCCAACATTTCAGGAATCCCCTATGAAGAAAATCCGTTGGTTTGGACTAGAGGGATGTCTCAAATCAAAGGAATAAAATGACCCAACTTGAATTTAATTCACACAGATTATCAGTGAGGCAACAGTGTCTTCATTTCTCCATGCAGGAAAAACTTTGCTGCACATATTTTATACATGTTCACTCAAAATTAAGGAGAGCGTTTAGCATTCATTAGAAGTAATCATGTAAAACAAACTGAGAGCAAAATTTTATGTGAAGTTCACGATGCAATCAGAGATGTTAAAAATCAATTTATAACAAGCTTTATAATAACTCTAAGAATAATACAGTTACTCTAAGCACAAAGTTTTCCTCAACGTTATGTTTCATACTCATTGAGCCGCACGGATTCCATGGTACCTTAATAACCTATGAAAGAAATATAACATTTAGTGAATCCACTTCCAAAAAACGTATAGTTAACATACAAGTAATTACTGTAGTTGTAAACTCAAATGTCATTCTGCTCCTAAAGGCTGCCCCTGATAAACGAGTGCAATAACAACTGTGGCTGTAACAGTCTCAAGTTCAGTCCCGTGTGTCTAGAGCAGGCTCAGCTGAGTTTCTACACAGCGTGTCACGCAGGCTGTCAGCAAGCAGACTACTCAGCTTCACCCATTGTGAGTAGCACGACTGGAAACTGTCATATTCATTCTAATGTGGTTTAGTATCCCCTATGTCTGGCCGCAGATGTACTTTTATAATTTTCAATTTGTGTTTCTGTAACGGTACTTTGAAAGAATCACAAAATCTTAAAACTTGTCACAGTTTTAGGCAGGTACACCTTACAAGTTCTTATAATTTCTGCTCTATTACCCATGTAAAACTTTAATATTTTTGTACAAACCGCACAGCTAGAATCGTTTCAACTAAAGAATTTCATTAGAGTTCAATTTTAAACTGGACCCATCTTGATTGTTCTTTAAATGAAATGGAATTAAAATTCTTCTTTATTGAGGCAAACTGAATACCGCATAGACCTTTCTAATAGTTAACCTCTACTGTTGGGCTTTTAACATAGACTAAGCAACACAAGTAGACTCCTCATCCCGTTGTAAATTTTGAAGTTTGTTTTTTGTGTCTAGTTCATGTACGTCCACAATGATCGCTGGGGTAGACGAAATTTTGTTTCTATTATTTTAGGGTTATTTTCATGATTTGTGCTTTACTATTTGGTTATTTATGTACGAGACCAGTTATTGTTTATGATTATATCATTTTATTTGGGTAAATGAGGTTTTAAATGGCTGAAATACCAAGATACAAATTGTAAAAAAACACAACCTCTACAGTTGGGTACAGAACTAACAATAAAATTGGCTTCAGCTGTTCCATAAGGATGGCATATCTACTAAGGGAGTATGTTTTATCTATGCTTTTAATAAATGGTACTGGCTAATGAAACAGCTGGTTTTAGTCAGTTACAAGGTTACACAAGTCGTCAAACTCCGCTTTAACTTATTTTGCACTCATTCAGCTTACATTTGTAAGTGATCAAGACAAGCTTAGACCTACTGTTTCTAAACCCATCTTTTTTATGTTTGTTACAGACATTCACCAACTGCTCCTGTATCCCGGATGACGTCTTGTCATCAGTGTCTGCCAGAAAGGATGAGATTGTGCTCAAGACAGGAGCTTGTAGAACCAACTGCTACTACAACTTTGTCATATTCATAGGCATCACCATGGTCATGCACAGTCTCGGTAGTTCAGGGAAGATTGGGAACGTTCTAGTCAATTACAGGTATGTGGAGATCCTTACTAATTAAATTATTCCGCTCACTGATATTTTGTATGTAATATCTCAAATGGGAACAAGGAATAAATAATTACCTATAGTTGTTTTTGGAAATATTTTTTTTTACTTCTGAACACTTTTGAAGAGATTTTTTGTCTAGAGGCGTTTACAGTGGGAACTTCCATCATACGCTGGATACATAGGTTGGAAAACAAAATAAGTTAAGATAATCAGAGGATGAAGATAGCATTTAACTCATTTACAGTAGGATGAATAGGAATGAGACTGGCGTGGTTAGAGTATAGGGCTCATAAACTTGAGAGCCTTCAAATCTTGTGTATGTCAAATGTGTGTTTGGTCAATGCCACAATGCAAAGACCCAGTGGTTTTGAACTAAAAACCTTGAAAGTGTTGGAAATATGATACTATCGTGAATCAGGTTGATATGGTCTTCTGTTCTAGTCAGATATTTTTAGATGATTTGCATCTCATAGTCAGATTTTAAGTCCTAAGTTTTAATTAAAAGTTTCAAATCACGATATTTTTATATCCATCCAAGTTATCAAATATGATCAATTAATTGATGGTTTAAGAGGTATTTCTATGTGATGTATATTTTAACATCATATTAATATGGTACATGCATGACTACTTGTTAAACAAATATAAGAGTGCTAGAGAACAATGAAGAAATACAAGAGAAGCAAAAGAAAAGTCAACTTATTTCAACAAAGCTTTGTTGAAATAAGTTGACTTTTAAGCTTAGCATTAATGAGTTTCAATTCATTGTTTTCATGTAGTTAATTTGTTTTTTTACAATGTTTGATTTGTCTTATGTTTCAGAGCGGTGGCTGCAGTAGACAAGTCCTTCGCTCAAGGGCTCGGCCTGCTGATGGTCAGTCTGTTCGCCTTCATCCCAGGCCCAATACTTTACGGAGCGATGATAGGTGATTGTGACTTTTAAAAGTACTTAAAATACTGTACAAGCATTAGGAGTGTAGTTGCTGGAAATTAGCCTAATTACCAGACAAAATTGGCCTTACAGTGCATTATAGTGAGTGGCCTTATGAAGTGTGGACTAAATTTGTTAGTTTATAACGCCACAGTAGTTTCTGTCACCTATAAATTTGCCATACATTTATGATTTTTTGAAATAATAAAATATGAGAAACTGAATCCACAAAAGTTGTTTACTTCAATAATATATTTCGTATCTAGGGGCGAAAATGTTTTGCCGGCTCGAGATAGTTTTTAAGTTCAAGAAGAAGTCGAGAACTTAAAAGATCGAGAGCTGCAAAACCATTTTGGTCTGTGGTACGTATGATATTTTTCACCACACTATACCCTATTACCACTATTCACCACAATAATAATACACACTAACAGTCAACACAACTACACCTTTAAGTTTTTTTTTTTTAAATAATTTGAGGAATCAGAGAAAATAATAATAAATATTTGCTAAGCAGCGATGGCAATAAAACAAGTCTTTAATTATTGATCGTTTGTTACCTTATAGCCTTTGTTCTTGCAGAATGATGTTAAAATCCTCCAATGTATTTCGCCACAGTGTGTGGCATCCTCGGGAAGACGAGAAGAACTATTTACACATTTTATATACAGTTTATACCCACATCACAAGACCGTACGTTTACGTCGCGGCGACTTCGCGAACGGGAGGGCGGGCGCGGACGTGCAACGGACACCTGTAGGAGGATTTTAACATCTTTCTGCAAGAACAAAGACTATAAGGTAACAAACGTTCAATAATTAAATATTCTAGCTCTTGCCACTGGGAAATACATCAATAAATCATCAGAACAAGTCTGCTGCAATTTTATGGATACAGTACTGATTGTGTAAGAAAGTGAGCAAACAGCTGACTTTCGGCCCTAGGGATGTAAAAACCTGCTCGGTCCCCAAATCACCACGACAGCAATACGTAGCTTTCAGCCTCCAATAAGCGTTTTGTAAAATGGCTAAAAAAATCATAGTGTGGTGAAAATGTATTAAGCTAAATTCTATTTCCTGACACCCTCAATGTATGATTGCTGCAGATTCTACTTGTCTGGTTTGGGACGAGACTTGTGGCAGAAGAGGCAACTGTTGGCTCTACGACAAATACAGGCTACGTTACTCACTAAACGTGACTTCAGCTTGTGAGTAGCATTGACATGTTTTATCTTTACAGTTTCTGAAATCAATTTCAGTGGTGTTCCAAACCGTTATGCATTGGAGTTAAATTAAGATGCATTTCATCCGCTCTTTGGAGGTGGGACGGCTTTTTTAAAAATATTGTTTCAACAATTGAAAAATAACTGTGGCACTTAATTCTTTCTCTGAAAACCATGTTTTGTTAGTGTATTTATATTAGTTATATCAAATGCAGCATTATGTACCATTTTAGGCCAGGCGCACACAGGCGATTTTGAGTCGCGCAACAGTTGCCCGACTAAAATGTTCAACATTGTTTTAAATTGGAGTGCGCACACGAAGAAAACAGTCTGGGGACAGTCGCGCAACTGTTGCAACCGATGTTCCCGGACCCAATTTGCCAGCGACTGCTCTGCGACTGAATTGTTGCGGGACTATCGCTCCAGGTTTGGTATCCATTGAAACGAGTGTAGATGCGCACACATGCGACTAAATAGTCGCTGTGCCGCTCAGTCTCACCCCAGGAGTTCAACTACTCGTGGCCAGAACTGTCACTAGTGTTTGCTCACTTAATTGTTGTGTGTGTGAAGTTTTTAGAAAATTACAAGTATGAGTGTGCGTGATGAGGATGTCGAACAATTTATTGATGAAGTTGAGAAGAGGTTGATACGAAATTGCTGGTCTCACAAGTGTTAACAGTTCATCAAAACTCCCGACACTCATTCTTGAATATTTGAAAAACTTCTCTGGGTGTTCTCTTAAGTCATTGTACAAAATGGAACTGTCCTTTCACAAGTCGCTCACTATATATGGGATGAACCGATGAACCCAGTATCTTCTCTTTTTCTTTCGCGCGCGAAACTTCAGCAACAAAGCACATACTACAGCTGTATCATTGAAATCCATTCGGAACGCTGTAACGAATGTATTTCCAACACGTCTCAAGATTAGATTCACGACTAAAAAGTTGCCTGTGTGCGCACTCTTGCTCAACTGTTGCTAGACTTTAGAGTCTCCGAGTGAGTCGCGCAACAGTCCCCCGATTAGTCGGGCAACTGTTGCGCGACTCAAAATCGCCTGTGTGCGCCTGGCCTTAGTAACACAAGAAAGGGTGAACCTTTAACTATTTGGGTGGAATGAATCTACCACGCTATACAGTGGACACCGCTCAACCCCATTCTGACATCAGATGTATGTAGCAATTGGAAGATGAAACGGGGAAGGTCAGACAATCCAGACAATCCACCATACAGCAGCGGTCTAGTGCAAGACTATAAAGCACATAATCAATCATTGCCCTTTTAAGAGTCTTCTTAGTGGATTTCCCAGTAACTAGCCTATATGAAGTTCAATGCCTTAGCCCAGTGGTTTTACCTTTGCAGGTTTTTCTTGGAGTTTCTGCTGAGACATCAATACAAGTAGTGCATTTCCCTAAAAGTTTTTTCACAACTTGGATTATTTCAAAGTTTCTAAACGATGGCTGGAAAAATATAGTACACCTAAAAAGGTTAAAAAAATTAGGGTTTGAATTTGTGATTTGTAATATTCACACTGTTTGAAATCTGACATATGACAATGAGAGACAATATAACTGTTAACTTTCAGGTTTAACACTGATTGGGGTCCTGTTTGATGCGTTGGTGTGCTATCTCGGTGGAGACCTGAAGCTGTACGAAGATGAGGAAGATTCAAACAAAAACTCATTAAACTCAACAGTAAATGGAAAGCATGAAGTTTTACCACCCAATGATAAGCCTGAAAAGGCGTAACTGTGATATTTTTTTTTACTGTATTTGTATGATTGTACCTGGACTTAAAAAATGGATTTGCCTTTACATGTAGGTTTTACTACTTTTTAGAAGTTTGACATTCAAGGCTAAATAGCAAAAACTCTTTATTGGGATATTAAAATCACAATAAAGGGTCATATCTATCTATCTATCATCTATTTGTAGATAATTAACAATTACCAAAATTAAAAACTTGTTTTTAACAACCATCTCGACACATTCCATGTACAATAATTTAACTGTTTTAAAAATGTACTTAAGATAACTGTGTTAACCTGTAAATAATTATCTGTAAATATTTGTTGATTTATGTAGACTAGTATTTAGCTGTAGTTCAAGAATCGTAAAATTAAATAAGTTTAGTAATAATTTTATTTTTATTTTTTCCCTGCTTTTTTTGAAACTCAAATAGACAATAGACATATGACTTAAAGTTTTAAAATCTCTTTTGTACCTACTTAGCCATGTATAAAACACATGAAGGCAGTTTACACACTGGTGTTGTAGACATTGTGTTTTAAGACCTGGTTGGTGTCTGATGAAATTGACATGTCTTATGTCTTTTGCATGTTTGAGACATTTCACATGTACTTTACTGTAAATCAATTGAGTACAAAATGTTGTTAGGATTTCCCTTGGCAGAAAAACTACGTTGATGATGCAGGGTTTTAAGGATGGTTGACGGTTAACCCATTCTCTAATGTAAAAGCTCACACATCAAACAAGTTTGTTACAATCCAACGACCGAACCAACAATCACAGATGATTGAAGAATATTTCAGAATGAAAATGAACAAAATGTACAAGACATCTGACCAAACACCAACCTATTGGTTCTGTACAACACATGTCCGATACACAGATGATGTCTTGGCATGTGTCACAAGCAGAGTGTCCACTCTAATTTTATAACATATGGGTTGGTTTAATGTGAGAAATGTCACGAAAGAAGGGTTAATCGCTGTCAAATATTATGCAACAAAACCTGACCTATTGATAATCCTAAGTCTTGGTGTTCTTTTCTTTTAACTATACATGTCAATTGTCTGGGTAGCCGAGTGGTTATAGTGCTCGCCTTTCTAGACCCAGATGACATTTGTCATTGGGCTATGAATTAATGATGCAATCTAACCAAAGGTCGACGTTAAACAAGACCAGGGTTCAGACCGTTCCCTATCAAAACATTAAAAAATACCACTGGCGTAAAAACACACAAAAAATGAATAAGCAAACCTAAATGTGTGACTGTTGACTTGTTGGTATCGGAATTTTAAACTTTTTGTCAAACATATCTCGTGTAGTAGATTATCTTATGGAAAAAAATCTGTAAAATATTTTAAGTATATAAAAGATTGTATTTTTGGAATCACATTTACACATTAAACATCAATAACCTAAAGGAACGCTCACAATTCAAATAAATGACATTCAGGTATTCTATTCCAATTCACACAGCTTCAACTTCCATTGCTGTTCCATTCTGTTCTTTAGTAGGGTCTATCAACTTCTGATATGTTGCGTTTGGTACCTCAATACTTAGAATGTCAGTAGTCCTTATTAGTGCATGAGGAGCGGTCTGTGAAGAAGGTTGGGTCAAGTCCTTAACAAAAATCTGGAATGCATCCAAGTCACAGCCACCAAACTTAGCTGACGCCGTTGTGTTATCAAAGAGTTGAATTTCGCAGTCCTTGTCTGAAATTGAATATTACATTGTTAGAGGAAACATAAGCAAACAGACACTAAGTTTAGATGAATCAATTTTTGTATGCTAATTCAACCAATAAAAACGGTAGGCCTACTTTGGTATTATACGGAGAGCTCCTTTATACGTGCTGCGGCGGATATGTTAGGTTGAGTTATAATAAATAGAAGATATGACTCATCTGGTATCGTTCGATTCATAACGAAACAAGAAAAGTTCTACAAACATATGATAACTCAACCTAACATGACCACCGCAGCGTGCTGTAGGCCTAAAATAAATGTGGCTGTCGGCTGTCGTATAACACCAAAGTAGGCCTACTAGAAAAACTCCTAATTGATTTTGTAGTCATTGAGACATCACTGAAAAAAATCCTATCAAGAAAATCATAAAAAGAATTAAGCTAAGTGGCTGTATATTGGCACGATAGCAATTTATGGTGAGTGGCCGGCACGAATGTTGGGACGTGTGGAACCAAGGAAGCGAAGTTGTAGGTACCGTTAGGCCTACTTAAAAATCTACTAATGCTGTTCATTGTTGTGGACTGGCTCACAATGTGATCACTAGATGCAATCCACTCACAGTCTTTCAAGGCTCATATAGATAGGCCAAATCAAAAATGGCTGCTAGCTTAAAGTAATAGGTGTCGGACAACCAAAAAGGATTCAGAGTAACAGGTAGGCCTATATAAAGTAAGTATACAAAGTTTAAGTAAGGTTATTTGTTGATTGAATGTTGTGATTGACGTAGGATGATCAATCATTGATAAAGAAAACGCCTCAATAGATCTTTCTTATTTGTTTGCTAAAAGACTGTTTCCTGATATATGTAAATAAACAGTCACATGTTTTTCAATTGTTTTTGTTAAAAACAAATAATAGTTTTAGTGTGTTGTTGTGTGGAATGAAATAAAGAAGATGGTTTTTGTTCACATTTATTTTTGTCATTTCTGATATTTTATATTAACTGATCGTCCGTGATATTGAGTTGATCGAATCACGCATATTGACAATGACATGATTTTTGACTTGAGTTGCATTTTAAGTTTAGATGAACACACAAACATAGGCTAAACAAAAAGGGAAAGAAGGGAATCATACTGATTAAGTTATGAGAACAAGGCAACTAAGAAGGTTGTGTTAAGGGGGGGGGGGGTTGTCACCTTTTGATCCCAGGTGCAACATAGCCTTCTCAAGCACGGGGGGTTGTCACCTTTTGATCCCAGGTGCAACATAGCCTTCTCAAGCACTATACATCCAAACTCCTAAACTTAGGCTGAACCCTAGATAAACTTAGGTATTAATATCCAGGCAAATGCAATTGAGGTTGCTAAATTTTTGAACAGAACAACTAACTTAAGGTTTCAACTGAAAAAGTTATAGATTGATACAATTGAAAATGCTGATAGTTTTCATTCGATTTAGGGCCTAGCCATAGATTAGGACAGGTGCATATTGAGACGCAGTCGGAGCAGCGCAGCGTAGTGCAGCGGAGGGCAGTGTTTTGTAAACCACATGTTCGCTAGAACACGCGCATATGGCGCAGCGCAGGGCAGTGCAGTGCAGTCCCGCATGTGTCTGTGCCGCATTGCTCATCTGGGCCGGGTTGACTAGTGTTTTGTGACTAATCTAGAAGAAAATTAATAGAAATTGTGTGTTTTTATCCAGATTTTACATTACCAGTCATAGTACCTAAGTACGGTACATATATAAAGAGTAATTACAAGAATGAAATCTGGGAGAAAATACAAAAATCACTTAACATTGCAAATTTTTACGCCCTTTCTTTCTTGTTCTCTGGTGAAGAAGTAACAATAAATCTAGATCAGCGCCTGAATCTGACTCAAACTCAAATCCTAATATTTAACAACATATTCGCACAAGAAACTGTTATCACTCCTATACGAGAACTGTATGACACTGCTTCCCAATATGCGATGTCAACTGTGCAACACAGACTTTTTGCCCAATTCTGTCCTGTGCTATGCTGCACTGCCTGGACCGTGCCGCGTAGCTCAATATGCGCCTGGGCTTAAACATACTCCCTTGCCCGGGCTGAGGTAAAGTCTAGACTCACCTATAGTCTAGACTTTACCTCAGCCCGGCCACAATCGATTGTTGATGACCCTTCGTGTGTTTTGTCATGTGTGTCCGTTCCGTGTTAGGCCTATCGTGTTTTGTATATGATTTATTTATTGAACTCTGTTTGTTAACAACCTTCGAATGAAGTGATTACCTGACACATTGAGGCCTGAACCTGATGATGGTTCAAAAGAAGAACTGAAACTAGGCCTAGTTGCATAAATCAGCAACAAGGGATTACTATGTAGGTATTGTAAACCATTTTAAGTTAGTTTGTAGTTGCTACACAGTGTAAATCCAGCCTCCGTATAATAAAACCAAAGTACCGAAACGTTATAAGAAATACTCATAACTAACTTAGGCCTTAGATAACCTTTTACCTAAAATTAGAGGTGTTGAAATCATAAGTGTTAGGTTAAATATGGTACGCACCTGTTATACCGGTGATAACTCTAAGGAATCTTTCTCGCAAGAAAGCTCGAGCTTCTTGTTTCTCAGGTGTTGCAAAATCTTTGGGAATGTCCTTCATTATAGAATGTGTTGCAGCTAACTTAAAACGCTATAGATATGTAATTATAATTATTAGTCACAGTTTAATGTTAACTTAACTTCAACTTCACCAAGTACCATAAAAACAAAACGAAACAATCTTACTTTTACTTTTACTTAACCTCAAATCAAATTTCAAATTCGATTCGAAATGTTATGGACTCAGGACTCTTGGTAGTTGAGTGAAATAGAAAAGTAGTTTGAACCTTTGATTATAGTTTTAATAATCGGTGGTCTTTTATAGAGTTAGTAAGCTAAAAGCTTGAGTAGTAGGCCTTTGTTTTATCTATGGGTAAAGCAACTAGTTTCAAATCGGAAACACACTTAATTATTGTAGAATACATCTGGTTTAAATTTAGTGTGATTTTATACCAAACATACGATTTCTTATGGATTTGTTATAATCCTTATAGATAAGAGCAGTAGATAGTTTAAAGTTATCGTTAGGTGTGGCAATTTTTTTACATATAAATGCACTTCAGACATGTTTTTATAGTATTTTTATTCGTCTATACTGTATTTTGGGTAGTTGAAATATTTTACGTTTTGTGTTGAGTAACTTAGCGGTCCAACGTCTAGACTTGTTGCTATCAAACGTTTATCTTTTTAGGTCGATATCATAGGGAGTATGTTTAATATCTTTAAAATAAACATTACCTAAAAGACTTCCCTTGTATGTTTTTTTTAATTTCCGGCATTACTTCTTCTCTGAAGAGGGTTAACCTAACCAACAGTTCGTTGGGATAACATTAGAGTAAAACACACCATGCGTAAATGATTACAGTAAAAAAGTATTTAAATAATATGCATTTGCGTTTTCAACACACCTAAAATGTGTAGTGTATTCATACTAAATCGAAACCGGAAGTCATTTTTGTAGTTTCCAAAATTATTGGAGAAATTTGACACTTCCATATGTTGCATCGATGAAGAAAATGTGGCTTTTGTAGAAATTTTAATTTTTTATTCAGGAACTAGCTGTGTACCCGTTCTACGCACGGGGATCTTATAATATTCAGTTGAAACCTTCTTATATAAAGAACAGCAGTTGGTTTGCATATTTTAAGATATGCTGGCCAAACTATTATACATAGCTTCATTTTATGTTGTTTTTTGTTGTTCCGGATCGGTATGACAATCAATAAAAGGTTAAATTACCTCTGTGTCTGCCGGTCGATCCTATAACGGTAGGCTTACTTTTATTTTTACTATCTGATCTCGTTTGCATGGCTCAATCACGTCCTGGTTGAAGTTCGTTCGCTACGCTCACTCACCTGTATGTTGGAGCTCGTTCGCTGCGCTCACTTTCCTTCAATTTGATAAAGGTACTAAAACGTGCAAAATCCAGCTCGATTGTAAATGGGAAAAAATATTAATACTGTATCTTAAGAGATTGAGAGTCTCTGATAAAATAGATTCAATAAAATTACCTGTAAAAGGGCTTTACAACTAAGAAATAAATAATTATCTATATACTCATCACAGAGATATTTCATTTTCTAGAAACTTCTGATCCCAAAACTATACTCTGTGGAGCGTATATAGCTCGACATTAATAGCATAATGATCAATTACATTATATTTTTAAATGGAACTGTTGGAGTCAGAAGGAAGGGACAACATATTTATTGATTGTGGATAATTTGTGGATGGATGGTATGTAAATAAATATGTACCCTCCCCTCAGTTTACTGAACTGCTTGCCTACATTGTCTACAGAGCAACCGAGCTACAATTATGTACGATATTTTGTCCCTCAGTTTCTGAAGGCGCAAGCATTAGGCAAACTGTGCCATTTATACAGGGTGTTTTTAAAAGAATGCCGGGATTTTAAATGGTAATTGCTTGATACTATTCAAGGTAACTAAACCTTTTATACGTCAAATTGAAGCTAAAATAACTAAGTTTTGTTTCCCGTGCATCAAGGGAGGAAACTTTGACCTTGGTACTGTTCGTGTAAAACAGTTTCGGCGTGATAAGCCGCTATTGTGACTCATATGCCTGACGCCAGTCGCCAGTACGACGTTTGCGGTGCAACAGAAGGCACAGATTGTAACCTGTAGTTCGCAGAGGTTATATCCATTGCAAAATTAAATAAATTTAAATATACTTGATGATAAAGAAACTTTTGAAGCTAGTTTAATGAGTTTTGTGGCACCGAAGTGTTTTGAAAAGACATTCACCCGGCTGGCTAAAAACAAACGATGACATAGTCGGAAGAAATCCGACATTTCTGCATCATAAGCCCGAACAATCGATTGCCCGACGAAATCTTCAGTTTAAAAAACCTAAATTGGTCACTTTATGTTGTTATCTATAAAAGATAGAGTCTTTGTATCGAAAAAATCAGTTAAGACATCAGATAAACCATAAACATGCCGATCGCCCTAAGCGTACAGACTTTGCCAGTTTTACGCTCATTTAAGATTGATGAAATCTGAATGTTGTTATATCATTCCGAATTGTATGAAAGAATGAGAAAAAAACTTTATTCTTTTCCCTTCAATTTGACGTTTAAGTCGTTTAATTATCTTGAATAGTCCCTGAGCAATGACCGTTTGAAATCCCGGCATTCTTTTAAAAACGCCTTGTATTTTGGCTGACAGAGTTTGCCCTAAAATATGTTATCTTCAGCATGATAAGTGTGGCATTGTCCTCCATTTGTATAGGTTAAATCGTTAAATTCAAATGATGATTTTAAAATTGTCAATTTCTGTCATCCTGCTACAGCACGCACCAGATTTGCACCCACCATCACCATAGGACGATGAATCTCCATGTAAAACAAAAGATTATGTATTAACAATAAGAAATTAATTTGTAGCTATTAAATCGCACAAGAAAATGATTAAACCCCTATGACATCAAATTCTCTGTCTCTTTTTATGTTAACATCACCTTAAAAACTTGTACAGACTACTGTGGCACGGAGTTTGTTGAATGTCAAGTTATAAAAACCCATAAAACTCAATGAATATTTTAATTAAAATGTTTCTATGGCAATAAAACGTTAAATCGATCACCAAGCCAAGCTTCAAATTTTAAGTTTGCTTTTATTCCCCACTTCAACACCATTTCACAAAAGTCAATATGACTATGATCCCTACAAGTCCACAGAAAACGAACGCACAACATCACCACCAAAGAGCTGACAAGTGGAATACGTGCCTCCAAGAAGGAAATGCACTTATGGCTGGGTTCGTGGGTTTGGGGGCGGTTTCGTCTATGATGACAAGATCTTACGGCCCTCTGATGATAATGGCTGCTGTGGGACTGTACACCGCTGTGGGAAATTGTAACAAGATCTTTGGTGAGAAGGAAAAATAACTGTGTTTCTGTTCAATAACATAATTTTATGTAAACAAATTACAAAATTGTCAAGAAATGATGAGAGACTATTATTCACATTTTACCTAATTTTAGAGAGATTTTAGTGATCAAGCCCTGGTAATGTAATTGGAACAGTTTGATTTTAAGAATATATACATACATAACCTAAGATTTTAATTTTCTATCGTGAAAGCGATGGGATGAAATTAAATTTTAATTTTTGTCTTCTAATGCTAGATAAAAATGATATTCACAATGGTTACTAAACAAATAAGCAAACACTGTTACATTAAAACTAACCTAACCCGTAAAGTTGCATCAAATAGGCAAAATGGACTAGGACTATAATTTACTACTACAGGAATTTCTAGAATTTTCTTTGTGAACTTTAAAGTTTCTCAGATTGTCAACTACTAAAAAGGCCAATTCAAAACCTAGGGACTAAGATCAGGTCATATACAATATTGAAGTACAAAGATTTGAGATTTGATATTAAGACTATAAATTAATAAATATACAACACGTTGTTAATTTACACAAAAAATACTATCAAAACCCCTTACAGTATATATAGTTTCAGGCCTGTTACTTTAATTCAATTGGACTCAAAGTTGAGCTCAGACTCGAATACATAGACAAGTTTTATTTTACTACAATTTTAAATTTACAATGTTTGTACTTTTCTTGAAAGAAAGTTCATAGAGTTAAAGCAGGATTTTGTTACGCCAAGGTAATGGTATCTAAACATTACGTCGATGCTTCTATTCGTCCAGTTCGGGATCTCAGTTTTTTCTCAAAGTTGTTGTTGAAGTTGTCCACCCTGTGGTTGTGATCCTTGAGGAACTCCTTCCTCGAAGACTCCACAGGACTCGCCCTGATCCTGACGGCGGGTGTCGACACCGGGGAGGTGACTGGCAGGGAGGCGTTGTCTGGCTTTTCTCTTTTCTTGTCCTAAAATAAAAGTTATTTTTAAAATGTATAAGTTAAACACTATGTCTGGTTTGATCGAGTGTTCAGCACTGACACTTGGTACGTTTTAAAACAATAGCATAGATGTTTTTCAGGCCAGCATTCAGAAACATATACAGTACATATTATATAGACTAACGAACACAAGGTTTTGAGTTTTTAGTGACTAAGGAAGTATGTTTTATCTGTGATATTATTTAAGGATTTGAAAAATAATAATTTTTGTCATACTGCAAAAAAATAGCCGTTTTAAATACATGCGTCACGGGTCTAAAACAGCTCTTTTGTAAAGGTCCGCTGAACTCCATTGTAAACTTCAACTGTGTCCAAACGCATGGTATCGATATTATATATAAATTAAATAGGTTGTAGCTTATTATTGCATTCTTGCTTCGACTATCGGTACAACCAATTGACTTCCGAGGCCAATAGTCAATGATTCTTGCCAATAGTTAGTCATATCGAGTATGTACTAACCCAATCGTAATAGAGAAAATAGTTAAATAATCACTTAATGTTTGTTTGAATTAAGGAAATTATTGAAAATAAGTTGAAAGTCGGTTTGAGAGGTCAATTAACATGACATTTCTTCTCGTTTTATAGCTTAGTTTGGATGTTTAAATATGACGTAAAAGTTCATCACAGGTGGAAAAAGTGTCTTTTCAACCCTCGCAAATTCTACCCCGGCTTCGCCTCGATCGTAAAACTTGAACTCGAGTCGAAAAGAGTCACTACACTCTAGTGATGAAAAAATATACATACATTTTGCAGTTATTGTAACTAGTGCACAAAGAGCAGGAATCAGCCACTTCAAGTGTTATAATCAGTGCTAGAAGGCCCACTTTGTCAAGTAACTGTAGGATAATTTGGATTTAACAACAGCCCAGTTTGAAATGCGGCTGCCTTAAAAAAGTCACAACAACGTGTTGTGAATTGGAACCACATATTTTATTTTCTGTACTTTGACTTTCTTGTGAGCATTACCCTCTGCTTTGACTCGTTTTGGCACAAGCGAGGTAATAATTTTCCATGAGTCATGTGTATGAACAGAAATGCAAAGTTGAAAACAACCATTTACTTTTAACAAATGATTTATAACATAGATTGTACCATTGACTAGTCAATGATTGTACCTTATAGTTTATAGGCTTGGAGTAGCAAGTAGTAACACGAAATACATTCACAGTTGAAACCAATTTTGACTCGAATGTTTGGGTCGTGTTTTCAAAGGATTGAATTAGCGCTAAACATTACGGTCTGATATTTTTGCACGACACTGTAATACACCAAGTTTGTAATTTAAGACGAAAATGTGACATTAAATGCGTATTTTGGATTTGGGTGTGATGTCAAAAAGCGGTTCACAAATTAATTATTGAAGAACTACACAGAGAGTGTTCAGATACATCACCTCGTCAGGAACATCTTCCTCGATGACAGGCAGTTTCTGCAGACCCACTATTGGAGCCCCTAGAGCTCCCAGTTCTCCGACTCCAATTCCATTTTCTCCCCCCAGCCCAGGATATCCTCCGACGTTCCCGTAGCTGACAGACAAGGCTGCGTTCAGCACCTTCCCCAGGAAGTTTATACTCTGACTAGCAGCCAGCGTGCCCGAGCTCGTCAGGAAATTCCCGAGTTTCAGACCAGTTAGAAAACTCAGCTTGCTCAGAAGTCCTCGGCCCTCCCGACTTTCGGTTAGGTTGCTTTTTTGAATCTCCAGCAGCATTTCGATGTTTTGGTACAGCTCCAGGAGTTCTGGAGGAACTGTGTCGTCGACTCGTTCTTCCAATGGAATGTCTTCTAGGTCGCTGAGGATTTCTGAAACTGAAACAAACTATTGGTAACGTTTTTAAGTTTTTTTTTTATTTAAACAATACCAGCTAACCAATTAAAACTAATTACAATCGAGTTAAGGATTAACCCTATTTTAATACCATAGTGTTTCATAATTTATGTTTATAGAATTAATTTATGGAATGATAATCATGAATATTGCAAAACAGAGGAAAATAATACACCATTGTAATCGGTTGGCATTAACCTATTAACACTTGTATCTTGAAATGAATTTTTTTTTTAATCTCTATAGTTCGGAGTGCTTATATTGACATTGTTGAAATCAACTTCAACATTCAAAGAGTTAATTGTCTTAAAGATTCTAGATGGAGAATCGCGTTGTAAAATGTTGAGAACTCTGACTGACTATTCCCCTCTAAAATTCAAATCTGTGAAGTATTCACGCTTGCAAATTATTTTGAAATACTTTGGCTAAATCCCCTTGGATCAATTTTATTGGGAGGCTTTTCTGCAATATTTTGCCCATCTTGTGAGAATTTTTACACAGAGAGTTTAAAGCAATACATTACGTACAACCTACAGCATGTAAATATTCCGCAAATATTTATCAATAATATTATCTTAATCTTAAACATCTATATATCTAATTCCGTAAGCCCAAAATTTTACAATGAAATTGTGAGGTAACGGGAGGTCGTAGAAAGCTGGGAGAGGTCTCATTTTAAAGGTCTGGGCATGAAATTTTGGGGAAAATTATTCATTTGTCTTAATTATGCACCAAAAAGTTGTTACGGAATAAAATAATTCACATTAAAATAGCATGGGGATCGAGGTCATGTCTGCTTTGTTTACTTTAAAACATATGGTAATATCATTAATATGTAATATGTACTGTATGTATATTAACCTTGCAGAGAGGTTGAACATACCTATCGACTATATCAATTCAATTACACTATCTGGAATGCCACCACACAAATTAGTTTTAAAAGTTGTTTCAATATTGATGCTCATAAGAAATATGAACCTAGGGTCTGGATTAGTTAATGGAGTACGATTGGTTGTGTTAGGTATGTCTGAAAAGGTGTTAAGTTAGTAGTAATTACTGAAGTAAGCAAAGGGAACATATTTTTCATGCCAAAAATAATAACTTATAATGGTATGTAATAACTATTATACATATTATAATATTAAAAATGTTAAACGATAATCAAGGTAGGGTGATCCATGAGACTAATAATTTGTATAAAATAATTACTAGAATATATACATAGGGGCTATTGCCCCTACAAGCCACTAGTTTTAATTATAAAGTCTTAGTGGATTTTTAGTTTCTATTTCAACATTCTTTACTTGTATCAGATTTTTCTGGCAAACGGAATTCTCAATTTTATCATTCGCAATTAAAATGGTAAAAGGTAAAAGTGTTATTTAAAGATTACTGAACTATGTGGGCGTCGTTATCAAAAGACTTTCGCTGTCAGAATTGGAGGAGAGTAGGTTTTGGACTGAGCCTCCTAATTAATTGGAGAGAGAAATAGCTTAGCTAAATGCGGGCCACGATAACATCTGTTTACACGGATAACGAGAAAGGAAGGAAGTTTATGCTGAAAACTTTGAAAACCAATAATTAAATTTGGATAGCTGTTGTAACCCAATACATTTCACAACTATAAATGTTCAACAAACCGTGTCAAATATTTTTGACATTGTGAGCCAAAAATTATTGTACTTTAGAATATAGTGTAATTAATTTTTAGCGAACTTGGTGTAAACCATCATTTATTTATTGCAACATATCAAACAAAAAATTATTGCTTTTTTATAAATGTAGAATAAAACATTAAATAATGTAAAAATTATAAGAAAACTACAATCCAAATTTGTAGTTATTTATTCTTACGGTAAAAACGTAGGCTGTTATAATTGAATCGTTTATTGCAGAACCCCATAACTGACATAGTTTCACATTTCTATACATAACATGTCCACTACGGTATTTGACTGAAATGATTGTGAATTTTATTACACGTAGCTAATGTTTTACAAAATATTACCTTCTTAGAAGATATATTCTAATAAACTGTTTCTAGACCTCGTCGCTGTTGTATTTTTAAACCTACTTTATCATAGATCAACCTTAAGGATTAGTTGAAGACAACTTTGAGGCATATGTTTATTTTTTATATGCTTGGTTTTATATTTAGTATTTCCCCTTGTTGATTTGCCAACTTTAAAACTGTTCAGAAAAAAATTAAAAACATGTTTTTAAACTATTGTTTCTCCTATGTAGTCATCACTTAAAAAGTAAAAATAACCCTCAATGTTTTAAAAATGTATCCTGAAACAAGAGATACATTCTCAATCACCACCAACGTCCTCTGGCTCACCAGACTAACCACACAATGAACGATGCTTCAAGTTTTACAATTGAATAAGAAATAAACTTGCTGTATTCAAATTCTCTGCTTATCCCCCACAGCACAAGTGGAATCGTCAGACCACATTCACTGGCCAAACAATTCCAACCGTTCGACAGAATACGTCCTTGTCATTCACTTCACTCCAAATATTTAACATTAAATGCTTTTCATTGTAATTGAAGAAATTTCGTCTAGTAAACGAAGGTTCTTCAAACATTGAATTTAAAGATAAAATCACCTATAAACCTTTTTTACGATCAAGGATTTTTCAAAAGTACAACCAAAGTAACTCAGTGAAGAAAACAACTAAGTACAACGTTAACTATTTACGAAAAATATTTAGGCCTGTCTGAGGTGTAAAATCGTACTTATTACAAAGTTTAACCTACGATTTATACTGTATATTTAAATATATCCACAATGAATGGAGGATGTATAGTAAATACTTTTTTAACTATGTGACAGCATATAGGCCTACTGTGACTTTTATGCATGATGACACAAAATTAATTTGTTTGATTGGATTTTTTCGTGGTTGTAGTGTTAGTTGTGTGTATCTGGTTCCACAGTACAATATTTTTATATGTTTGTTTTCCACACCCTGTTCAATTATCAATCATCAACCAATTATCAAGCTTTGAGATAGCAACGTCTCTGCCACCTAAAACCCAAATAATTGTATTTTACCATAGACAAAAAGAATTAAATATTTACCTACTGTATTTTAACCCAAATAATAGTGAATGAAGAGTGTAGAATGGAGTGAGATGTTCTGTGTAACTTTGTTACTGACTAAGATCATCTGATTCATTAGCCAGGATCATCCTATTAATAGGCAAGCAAATTTCTTGAAAACCTTTTCCTCAAATCGTGTGCATCTACGCCCACTGTGTTAGAAAGATATGTAGATGTGCATAATCCCTTTATGAATTAAAATATGCTAAAAAATAAGCACAAAAAAAATAATTTTAAATAATTTCAAAAAATTAACATGGGCCCTATAGGTTTGCATGCTGGTGAAAAAATAACAACGAAATATAAAAAGAAATCAAAACAAATTTAAGCAATTTCAATCACATGTTTTATTTACAGCGTGGGGTGAAAATAGAGAGGTCCGTACATTACATATTTTTAGTCGAGTTTTCGACCACTGGACGACCTCTAGTTTAAAGTCCACGTACTTTCCCCAATAAGGGCATACAAAACCCCATGGTACCTGAATCCTCCACGGTCAAGGAACACCGAATGCTTTACAGTTACAAAGTAATTATATTAACAGTGTTGTAGTTATTGTTTACCTCTCTACTCAATCATATCCCCACATTCCCCTCATAGTGCCATTCAAAGCCCCATATGCCCCATGGTCTCACCTGTCTCACCAAGCTCCAGCAGCGCCGGTGGTGGCGCGGAGTCACCTCCCAACACCAAGCTAGCCGTCACCAACAATACCCACATGTTACCGTACTGAGCCACCTGGTAGGCGGCGCACACATTTATAACCTGCTGCATACGGGTGATGTTGCAAACTGGGTATAGACGTGTTTGTAAACATTAACACTTGTTAAGTTAAAACAATTAGAAAAGGTGTTTGTATAGGCTACTCGTGAAATAAGACTGATAACTGTGATTCTTGGACACATGTACAGGATAATTTGAGCGGATTAAAAAAGCTTATTATGGTTGTAAAGTATTTGCTACCTAGGGAAGGGGAGGGGTTAACAAGATTTTCAGACTCCTCTGGCCTAAATACAGTCGGTGTTCAATTGAACTGAATTATATATAGTCGAATCTCGTTAGTACGAACCTCTATAAGACGAATTTCTCATGATCTCAACCTCTATAGTACAGTACGTAGTTTTCAAAACAAAAAGGAGCTTGTTTCAACATGAAACCCCCATCCATTCCTCTTCCTTACAACGATTGTCTTAGAGCAAGGATAAACTCTTTAGAATACCTCGATAGTACGAAATGTTCCCCTACCCCTTGAAATTCGTCTTATAGAGGTTTGACGTGATCTAAAACAGCTATGTTGCTATGTTATACATGGGAATTGGAACGAAATGTGTCCGTAGTGCGTATTGCATATTGTATAGTCAAAGATATATTAGGCTGAATGTTAGTGGCCATTAATGATTCCTGTCTGTAATTAATAAATGTTCCTCACCCATAGAAATTCTTCGTAATTCGTAGAATCTGCTATTTATATCGTTGTCATTAATGTAATAGCATAACTGTTTTTCACAACACATATTTTATTAGTGCTGTAGGAGTTTAGGTAGGTCAACAAACAAAAGGGGAAAATTATATAACTAAAGTACACGTTTTGTGTTTTTTGCTACCTACGGGAAAGTGTGTAAATATTTCGATAGTTATTAATAACTAATGTTATGGCTTAATGTTATTTTTTTACTACCCAGTACAGTATTCATTCAATTAATTTATTTCAGTGCTCAATCTATTTTAATTGATTTGTAATCAGGGATTATATGGATTTGCTAATGATAAAATTTACTTATTGTCGTGTCTAGAGGAGGGCTATGAATCAAGTTCTCAACACTAATAACGGTCGTAGAGTCATATGAATCTGAATTTTTAACTTCAAGAATTAACCTTTTCTAGTATTCTTATTTATCAAACTCTATGCCTTATTTCTAATGGGACCGTAGTGTATTTACACTCTTAGAAACTCATAGATTTGTTCCTAGAGTAATTATGTACAATGTTGCACTATCGAAACTATTCCAGAAAAATTTAACTCTAGGCTGTTATACTTTAAAAAAGTCTGAAGACTTAAGTTCTAATTGTGTTTCAAACATGGCCCTTAGTCAAGTTTCTATTGACACTTTAAGCAAACATATTTTTCATAAAGTGTCTAATTTTTCTTTATCTATTGTTTTACATGTAGGTACCTCATTAATTGAACATTCTACGTTTTCAACTCACAAGATGTATAAATTAAGACTCAGATTGCAATCTTTGTAGCCAGGTCTTTTATTCTGTTATACTTTAATAATTTAACAAAACTGACTGTAATATAGGTTTTAGAAATATACCAACTATTTATAAAACAAAATTAGCCCAACTCAAATTTGGCTGAGATCAAAATTAGACCAACGTACGTTGTAAGAGAAGTTTACTAATTGTTACACAAACTTTAATCGATGCCTACTGATGTTAGGACAGGCTGGGTGTATGACCAATGGACATAAGGGTCATTATACAACCCAACATATGCCTAGATTACGACATTATGTTGTAATACAGTATCAATGACACAGTGACACAATATTGTACCTGTGGGCTTCCGTCTACTGACCGACCTGACACAGTTTGTAAATCCTTACATACATGCAAATATAAATAGTTGATATCATGTTCATTTAATTATGTTTTACTACAATGACGTTTCACGTTGATTAAAAAATATATAGTTACTTCGTCAAAATATGTTACTTTTTGTTTCAAATCTACAACAGTGATGTCAAAATCTACGGTACGTTACAAACGACATAATTTTACTTATTTCTGACTTGCATTGTAAGTTAGTATTGTTATTCGTGTTTGGTATTTTGATGATAAACGTGGAATCTTCCAGATGTATTGCATAAGGTATATTCCCAAAGCAGTATTCATATATTACCGATTTGTTGAAAAAATATCAATTATTAATCTAATTTCACTGCCTACTAGAGGAAATTTTATAAATCAGGCTTTGATAGGTACTTTAATGTATATTATTCAGTATTCAGAGCTTATACTGTACTTGAGCTGAATCGAGATGTATAACAACAAAAATGAACATGATAATAAGGGTTAAAACTATACACTCTGACTGAAAATATTTAATTTATTGTGTTGGATCAAGTGTGGAGTAAATTGTTTAAGATTTTTCAAGGAAAATTCACAAACCAAGTTGTTATTGAATTAATAAAACTTGTGGGAATGTTTTACTTGCAGTGTTCGTGATGCCCGGAAAAGTTATGGTGAAAGTGCATCATGCTCTTGTTGGGTTTGTGCGCTAACTTTTGGGCGATTATTGTGTTGGGGTGGACCATGTGTGTCTCTAATTTATACCCCAACACTGTAGTAGGCCACAGAGAACTTTTATATGCATTTTAGCATAGACATTTCTAAAGACTGACCATTACTAGCATCTTAAAAAAAAAAAATTAAAATATTTTTGATCAGAAGCCTATTTATTTAGACATACAAGGTTCTAAAACTGTTTAAACGTAAGAAAATAAAATAAAATATTTTCAGAATGAATATGTAGGCATTTAAGTTATGTTTTTTTTGCTGGACGACTATTTTTGTTTGACTATCTTCAGACACTTGTTAATCATACAATGTTTTTCATTTATTTAGTTTACTATCAGTTCAAGTATATAATTAATTGCAGAACGATGAATAAATGGCTTAAACATTTTCAAAATGTCTTGCATTCTTTCGAGAATCGTGAAAATCAGTTTGAAGGACTCAGATAAAAAAATGTTATCAGCATTTTTGTATTTAAGTTATTTCTAATCACTGTTACAAATATGTTTGGCTGATTCGATAGTTATTTATGTCATGCATTCTCATTTGATTGTGTTCCTTTTGATTACGTTGGTAGAATTTATACTATCATAAGAATTTCGTTTAGCTTCTAGTGTTCTTAGTGTTCTAGTTTCTCGGTGATATTGGGCAAAAAATACCTACTGTAGTAATTAATTTAATTTTAAGTTTTTCCATTGACTAATTATATACTAGTAGGCCTATATTAATAGTCAATGGTTTACACATATCTTCTTTTTGTATATGTTTTCGCTCTTTGACTATTTTATGCAATTTGAATTTGTGATGGTCATACCACACAAGCGACTGTTTTCAGATTATTTAAACTGTTTTACATAATATAAGTAACTATTAAACATTTTGTTTGACATATCAGCCAAAGTTAAAACTTTGGTGTCTAAGCTATGTAAATATTAAATTATTGGAATTTCAATTGCACATTCTACTGTAGCACGGAAAAGTTTACACTTAAATTTATCCTTATTGATTTGTCTAAATCTCGACCACGAGACACCATGACCTGAATGTATAATGGTTGTCCATTATGTTGATGTACAACTTCCATTTACAGCCGTAGACGGACCTCTGAGTGGAGTCGGACTCCGTCGGTCTCGCCTGGTCGCCTGCCTAGCGCCCCCATGGGCGTCCCCTCGTCGCCCGTCGCCCGCGGTCTAGACTCTAGTCTCCAGTCACCCTGACTCCTGCCCTCCGACGTCCCAAGGGGTTGGTGTCTTCGCCTTAGTGCGATCGAGTGGAAGTACAAGTTTATGATTTTAGAAACACTTGTTAAAATCTTCGAACCACAGGAGTACATTAGTATTTAAACGGAACAGCTTCATACCTATCATCTGTTCAATGTTAATGAACATTCCACAAAGCGGTAGACATTGTTCAATTATCGCTTTCGTACTTAAGTGTGATTAAGGGAAATGGAAAATTGATTATCGACGATCCAATGGTGCTAGGTTTTAGACTATGAATCACATAGGTAAAGTAATTCACACACTTCCTTGTGGACAGCCCAGCCTTCACACTCTTCAGGTGTATCGCCATGGATTTATCTTTGTGAAGAGTTTCATCTTAGTCTACTCTTTGTAAGTTATACTTACACAAACACTGTGGAATTTTTACAGCCTCTTGCGACTGGCTGGACTACTTATAGTATAATGTATTTTAAGTTATTTTTACAAAAACGGTGAGGCCTTTTGCGATATAACTGATTTTAGATAATTTATTTCAATTCCTCATCTTTTTCAATTGTTGTTCAGGAAATATGTTTGGTGGGAAAACGTGATGACAATAATGTGCAAGAACATATATTTTTATTTACAATCTCTTTTAGTTACAAAAAGGTTTTCAGAACGACTGAGTCAAAATTGAACAACAGAAAAATTGTAATTAAAATCAGGAAATGCAGTTTAATATTGCTCGTCAGCAACAAACCGTGGAATCCATACAATAATTAATTATTAATTCATTGCAGTCAAATACCCATTGATTATTTAAACACACAATGCATGAACTTATTTCAGTAATGCACCCTATTTGTTGATTTACTGTAACTTAACGTACGGTATTTTAGTGTGAAAAGGGATGTTTTCAATTACAAATCTTGCTGTTGGAATTTCACATATTTAAGAATTTAACAATATAATCAACGTATTGAAAATTACATCTACTGGTGTACTCAAATCTAATCCATTAACTTTAACCAGAACAAAGACTTTCCAGAAACAATTAACTTTAAGTCATCAAATGTTAAACAATGTTGCAGTGAGGTCAATTCTATTTAAACATACAAATAAATATATATTCACCAACATTTTTGTAGTTTTTCATGATATTTCTAGTTGCATTTTCTCTCGCTTCTTCCATTGGAAGGTACAGAGGTCCACGCTGGTTGTTGTAGGTCAACGACCAATATTCTGCATTCTTATATTTATGTGGACCACGGA